ACGTGCATAACACCTAACATTTCATGTTTCACATCAAAATCTTTATATTTACCCAATTGCCATTCAACTCTTTTCTATCACATCAAAATTACTACTAATTATTACTATTTACAAGTCAAATCACTCAATTTTTTCACGTCACATCAAAACTCCCACTAATTATCACTATTTACAAGTAATCCACCTTTTTCATGCATGGATGAAGTGGAGTGCAGGTATGGGCATAACTCTGGGATATTTGTATGATTAATACATAAGATTCTAATATATATATGAGGATGGTTGACCTATTTTAAGTTGTTGGTCGAAATTTTTTCTTGACGACTGTAATCTATTTTGGAAGAGATCGAAGAAAATCCACCAATATTTTTTTATTTATCTGAGGCTGAATGTCGAAGTTTTTGTTTGACGACTGTAGTCTGTAATGGAAGAGGTCGAATCGAGTCCCCTTGGGATCGATGAAGTCTAGAATGAGATGTCAGAGATGCTCTACGTTTCTTGAGATTATGACGTAGGTCGCAACTGACCGTATATTTTCTTTGAAATATGGTTGCAGTTATACTCAAGAAAATATTTGAGAACTTGTTAGTTGTGCTTTTGAATCTTTTGCACTCCTAGCGGGGGTATTTTCCATACAAGCTTGTAAAACAACACAAGTATTGGGTTTTGAAGATATTAGCTTCTTGGTCTAGCTGAAGAGGAACTCAAGTACGATGAGGGGACACTGAGGAAGCATTTTTTGCAGTGAAGATTGCCCCCCAGTCCAGGATAAATTCTTGAAGACTAGTAATCTGAATAAAATATGTGATGACTTTCCCACCATAGTCATTCCTGGAACGTTGAAATGAACGAACTTTTGAGACTGCAGTGAAGGTTGCCCTCCAGCCTGGAAGAAGTTGTGAAATACTTTGTGTCTGAATAGAATGCGAGAAAAGAACTTCACCACAATCATACTCGGGACGTTGAAGTGAACGACCTTTCGAGACTGCAGTGAAGGTTGCCCCCCCCCCACCGGTCTGAAAGAATGCATCTGAGAAGATCTTCAAAATATAAAGGAGGTTCCTTAGCCAGTTGGATAATATACATCATTGGGAAATGAAGTAGGGGATCAACTTCTTAGAGTTGAAGATAATGTCAAACAGGGCTTCATTTCCCACAGACGGCACCAAACTGATGCGTGCCAGAAAATTCGTAGCGGTAGAGCAACGAATTATCGTCTTAACATTGCACCAGAATTCAATACACACAGATAACAAAAAAATAAGTAAGCAAGATGAGATACCTTGACTTTTTTACATTGAAAACCTTTGAAAGAGGGAAAAACCACGGGGCTAACCTATTTGAAATAATTCATTATACATGATGAGTGCACAGGTCCAATCTTCCCCTAAATTAGGGAAGATAAGATTATAAAGTTGCATAACTAAAGTCTGGCTGCAATTCTTGGTGACAACAAGTTGCAAGGGTCATTTTTGATTGTTGTGGAAGAAGTAGTCCGTTGTGAGTGTGGTAAATGGTTACTCCAGAAGAGTTGATTGGCCAAAGAAGTTATAGTAAGCAATCACATAGACTTGGTGAGTATTAATGACGTTAGTAGGCTGCAGGGGTCGGAGTCAGGAGCTGCATGAGCTGATGACCACGTTGGTCGTAGTTGGCACATGAACCGTAGCGGTGAGCTTTTGTCCCGCAGACGAGAGAGAGTTACTAGATTTTCCAAGTTACAACGTTGAAAGAAGACATCTAGTTGGCGTTGGTTGACGACAATCGACGGTGGTCAACGACGGTCGATGATAGTCGATGACGGTCGGCGATGTTCGGCGACGGACGGTGGTGGTGCTAGACTTCAGCTCCATCTCAAAGCCTCAAGTCCCCCAAGGCTTCCGCTCCCTTTCATGATGAGAGGGATGGGAGGGATGGGGCTCTATTTATAGTGTTCTTGGTGCAATTAATGCAGGAATATGAACCATTTTGATCGGACGGTCCGGAGAGCTTCCCCTAATCATACAATGTTTAATAGTCATTTGAGTGCCTTCATGATGTTTGAATTGAGTAATTTTGGGCTCGTTAGATTTTTCTTGGCGAGACACTTGATTCAAGTATGAACTTGGCATATTTGATAACCGTTTGATCTTTTAAATGTATCCAAAAATCATACAATAATGGTTTAATGACTTGATCTTAGCCTGATTTGACTCAGATTGGACTAATTTTGATATCATTAGATCTGTCTCATCGAATCGGCTCATCCGAATCGGTCAGTTTGACTATAAGTTTGCTAAAATCGGAGCTTCGGATGACTTTTAATTGAAGTCTGAATGTTTCTTACTTAAAATATTGTCTTAAGATTCGTGTCAAGTGACTAAAATTTGTTGATGACATATCATACTTTAAGTCTACTATCACATTGAAGTTTCTTTTTTCTTTTTTCAGCCATGCATACATTATCAAGTTTATAATTTCTTTATCCTTTCAAAATATATTTTCTTCTCCACTTCCGTTCTAATCATTCGTAAAAAAGAAGAAATATTGACACAAAAGCATCCGCACTTAAGCAGGCTAGACATGAGAAACAATAAATTTTATTATTTTACATTCAACGTGTATACATAAATACGATTCTATGAAAACTTTCGCTTATTGAATAAAGCTCACATATTGAAGTGGCTAAATCGATCACACTTGCCATCTTCTTAAATTTGCAAACGACGTATGCAGCTTATTTAGTTACAGGTCGAGGATACGTGATATGTCATTCTCCCTTAGCAATGTTGTCTCATATGAACCCCCTTTTTTTCGGTTCTCTTAGTTGTTTTCAATCCAAACAACCCTCAAACTTTTCCGTCTCCTTCCAAACCTCCATCTACCTCGCATGTCCTCTTTCTATTGCTATTCCACAACATATTGGATCCCTAAACAATGTCACATATTACATTTTAGATGTTAATAATTATATTTCCAAAACACAATCAAAATATATATCATATATAGAATTCCTAGACGCATTTGAATACTTATAGACCTTTAATTAATAGATATTATCACATTTATTTTCTTATATAATATATAGTTTTAAAATACATAATTTATTTGGCATGGCTATCCTTGTTTTGTCAAGTACCATATAAAACTGACAAGAAATTACAATAAATCCGAGAGGCTTAGCCATTAGAGGTGCATCTCATTTGTATTTACTTTTCTATTTTTGGAAAATTGGGACAATCTACGGAGTGGTTGCAAGACTGCGACTAGCAGTCATAGCTTTGATTAATTGTTTTAAATTAAATGTGATTTTACGGGTACTGTTCATGACCAGCAACCAGCTGGCCATTAAATTGGTTTTTCTTATTAATAATGACCGCTGAGGGCCTCATTTACTCTATAAAAAAATGTAATTATAATGTTTGAGTCCAAGATAACCCATTAACATAAAATATAATTAAGGAAAATTTGCCATTCAGCTCTTAAGAATTTATATATTTAACATCTTTATTTTGATATATATATAATGATGGCATGCTGGGTTTGCATCCACAGTATAAGCCTCTCAGGTCGGCGGTTCGAATTCTGTTGACACAATTAGTCTTAAGGAGATAATACTTGGCACATTAGGGGTGTCTTGAGACTCCTATAATAACTTCCGACTATTCTTTATATATATATATATATATATATATAATAATAACAAAACAAATAAGAACATTGATGATACAATATGAAGTGATGTTAAATATATATATATATATATATATATAAGGATATTTTCTATGAGATATGAAAAAATTGGGTGGTAAAAATATAAAAACTAGATGTTATATATGCAAATGCTTCATTCTATAATTAAATATAGAATAGCACAAACATTAACAAAAAATTAAAAAATTGAGACCTTGTGGAAAAATATAAATAAGAAAAGAATGGAAAATATAATATCAGATAATAAGAGGCAGTAAAAGAAGGGGAAATCTTGAATGTGATAAAATTTCAATTTTAAATTTATTTTAAGATAATTATAATATAAATGATAGCAAATTATTTATTTATATATATTATGTTCAGCTAAAATAAATTTAAAATTTCTAATTATCATTTTGGTTAGTAGTTGAACGAGATATTTCGATCGCATTTTTGTCGATCGAAAAGAGCAAACTTCGAGATTTAGAAATGATAAACTATTGATATGCTATTTTTATCTAAATAGAAAAAGGTGGTTGATAAATAATTTAATTGATAAATATTTTTAAAATTATAAATAGTTACATACGAAACATATAATTTCTATATATTTATATATTTAATGTCAAATTTTTTTTTATATCACATTAAAAAAATAATATTATTTTAATTTCTAAATGGTGACGATATCAAGTCCATACATGTAAAAATTGAAGTTTTAGTGTTAAGATGGCCCACTTATGATGAGCTGGCGCTTGAGGATTGGACAACAGCACCTGTAGCGATTCGTTGCCTCACCACGCGAACCGTGCGGTAGGTTCATGTCCTAACATCTCAAAAATGTGATGATGAAGTTCTGTCCCGGTCCGAGCCGGACCGAATCCCCGTGGTCGAGTTCGTACGACGCCAATTAAGCCGGTAGGGTTGAAAAGGACAAAAAAGTCCGTACAGTTCCATAAAGCAACAGCGGCGTGTCGTCATCTCACCCCGGTTAAGATTTGAGTGCACCCACCGCCGGTAAGGTCACCGCCACCATCGTCCTCATTTCACCCAAAACCTTCAGACGAAAAGCTTTTCATCAGTGATTTCACTTCAAATTTAATTTAAGTTTTTAGATGAATAAAAATTAGGTTTAAATAATTAATTATATGTTATAAGCATTGTAATATAGATTTATTTTTATTAAATTTAAAAGTTCAAATCTGGCGGTAAGCTGCTCCACTGATCCTTGAGATCGAAGGGAAAAAGCAGAGGAAAAAATTAGAATTAATGAAGAAATTAAAAAAAAATTAAAATTTGGCGCAGCTATTAAACAAACAGCTTTCTTTCAGAGTGAATGGCGTTTATCGGGGAAAGAACAAATACTACTCTCTCTCTCTCTCTCTAACTACGCACCCTTTAAAATCAACTCTTCTTCATGGCATCCTCAGCTCCTTCGGCCTGTTTGAGCAGTTTAGGAGATTGAGAGTGAAAAAAGATTTCATTTTTGATGTTTGGAGAAAGAAGAAAGAAAAAAGGAGGGACTTTTATAACTTGAAGGTCTCATCTTCTCGTTTCCTGGTATTTTTTTTATTTGTGTTTGGGTACTGTTTTTGGGGAGCTTTGGTTGAAGTTATGCTGAATCGATAGAATAAGAGAAAGATGAAGTTTTTTTTATATTAATAATCTTTATTCTTCTTAATGGAGAGTAAGTCGGATCGAAGGAAGATTATCGTACTGGTTTTTGCGTCTTAGTTTCAGTTTAATGATCTGTTTACCTTTTGGGTTCTTATTTTTCTGAAGTTTTGAGAGGATTTCATGGGATTTTCTCCTTTGGGCGGTCATCATGTTTGCCAAAAAGAGATAAAAGAGATACCTTGGAGCTTTTCAGTTATCTCTGATACACTACCTGCTGCCATTTCAAAGTGATCTCGGTAGGGATTCCATAATACGTTGCCAGAGCGTTCATATCCATTTCATTGTTTCGTAATCTGAGCTTTGATAAGGAAAAAATCACAAAGGATAGGAAAAAAATCCCTACTTTTTCTTCACCACTTTCCAACTCTACCTCTTTTCTTTTCTGAACTCCCCATTTTCTAAGTAGCCGTTGGAAAAAAAAAAAATTACTACATAATGTCTGATAACTCTTCCATCCTCCCATCTCCCTCCGGGAAGCACACAAATCCTCTCTCCTCTCTCTTTGGTTCTCCAAAACTGTTCATGGGTTTCTCTTCAAAGAGCTTCTTAGACACTGAGGCTTCCATGAGCCCAACTTCCATTCTCGAGACCAAACCCTTCTCTGTCGTTGGCAACAATAGCAGAAAATCTCATTGGGCTATTAATGGCGACTCAAGAGGCGCCATAGGTCTTGCCATAGTTGATGCTCTTACCAAAGAAAAGACTGAGAAGAAAACCTTCAACCAAAGTAGCAGAATGGTGCTATTCGGATCACAGCTTAAGATTCAGATCCCCACCGTACAATCCAACTCCATTTCCCCAACCGGATCTGTTGAGTCCCCTGATACACCAATTGAATTCAGTCTCAAGAACAAGAATCCTGTGAGTTTTGTAGGTGAAGTGAGACCTTCTCCGAGAGTCTTCACAAAGTGTCTTTCTCCAAGGGAGATGGAGCTTTCAGAGGACTACACCTGTGTAATCTCTTATGGACCGAACCCGAAGAAGACTCATATCTTTGACAACTGTATCTTGGAGAGCTGTGGCGACGGATTCATGGCGTCGAAGGAGGAGAACAGGTTCTCAACTGAACAGACCGCAGGGTATTCTTCAGGAGAGGACTTCTTAAGCTTCTGCCATGCTTGTAGGAAGAGCCTTGCGCAGGGAAAGGATATTTTCATGTACAGGTAGGGTTGTATAATCTATACATCTTTTGTTTTGATTTATTTTGAACTTTTATTTCATTTTGTTGGATGCTGTTATAGCTCATGATTGTTGATCTCTGTTCGATGTTCCGTTTCTGAAAATGATGCATTAATGAAATATCAATCAAGAGGGAACGTTAACATAAATTTCTTTTGGTGCAGAGGTGAGAGAGCATTCTGCAGCCATGAATGCCGTCAGAAAGAGATGATTTCTGATGCAGAAGAAGCTGAGAGTCGTTTTGAAGACCTTTTAGATCTTTTCTAGGAGGCAGGGAGGCATGTAGAAGACGAACAGTTAAACTCTTTTTCTTCTTTTTTTTTCTTTTTAACTTCTCTTTATTTGTGTTGGTAGTAAATATGATTGGGTGGTGATTAGTTGCTGCTTATGGGAATTATCTTAACAACAGTGCTTTATTATTGTGTCTTTTTTTGTGGGTGTTTTTGTGTTAATTCTGCCTTCAATTAAAATGGTTGCTTTTGAGCTTTTCTTCTCAGTTTATGGCTATCACTTATTTTTGTTATTTTTCAATATTTACATTGACAGAATTTTTTGGATGTAGTATTTAACTCACCTAACATAAATATATATGTAATATATTCATCATAAATTTGTTAAGCAGGTAAGGAATTCGAACCAAAACTCATATAAGAAAATTTCAAGTTATAGCAGGGTTAAACACAGTTATTAAGTTGGGGGTTCATTCATTGGATGGAAAATGAGTGCACTGCATTCATGTTGTATTGAATTTTGGAGATGTAGGCCTTCGGTCAGATGGATTTCAAATGCAGTACGAAATTGCAATGTATTTGTAATTCATTTCTTCGCTCATTTTCAGTGTATGAATTTGTGTGAATTCCAAATACACTGCGAAATGTAAAGGGTTTTTGGTTGTTGCTGCTGCTGCTGGCTTTGCCCGCAACCAGTCATCACTGTCAAGAACTCCCAGCCATTGTTCACCTGCTTGTTGTTGGTCGCCCACTTGCAGTCATAACTCACCTGTCACCTCCGACCACCCAATAGCCTTGGTCCCTACAGCCGCCCACCACAAACGACATCACCACCGACATCCAGCCGCAAAAAAGAAAAGAAAAAGAAAAAAAAAAGAAAAAAAGAGAATTTATTTTACATTAATTTTGTTTCATTTCAAATATATATATATATATATATATGAGGTCAAATATTTATTTTATATTTAACCAAACAATACAATACATTAATTCTACAGTGCATTACTTTTTCACCAAACCCATTAGTCTTTTCTGTTGAATTTAACCTAGCCCAAATCTTGCTAGGGATGACTTGAACCTCAACATAAATAACGGGAGCCCCTCTAAGCATCTTCTAAGAGGAATTTATATGCATACAACTAAACTTTTATATATGTTTAAATATCTAACATCTAAACTTCAATTTTTACATATATGACGCCTTATCTATGCATAAATAAGTATATTTCATTTTTTTTAAGCTACTATAGTGGTATTTTTTGTGTGATATTTAGTATTTGGGTGGTATAAATATAAAAACTAAAGTTTATATGTTGGATATGTAAATGCATAAGAATTTGGAAGATATGCATGTAAATGTCCCAAAATAATAATTACAAAAAGAGAACACCAAGCACAACAAGTTTGGTAGTTTTTTTTTTAAGCATTAAATTGTATTTTTGTTTGGTGATCAAATGATTCTCAAGCTTGTTTTTAATGATGAAATGAACTATTTTAATTGATTTTTTTTTTAGAAGATAGCTAGAGTTAGACCTGAAAAATTTGAGCATGTTGTATAAAAATGGTCTTAATTTATTAGAATTAAATGAATATATGACACTCAATAGGACAATTGAAAAAAAAGGATTCATTTAGCCTAACCCACTTAGTGGGATAAAGGCTTGTTGTCGTTGTAAAAAGTTTAGTTTCTAGGAGCCAACTTGAATATTCTAAGAACACAAAATAAATATTTTTTTATATATGTTGAAAAAAAAAACATATATTTTTTTGTCTAATGTGTAATCCCGTCATGATGTTTTAACAAAATACTTACATCAAGTTCAAATAATTTAATTGATCTCTTTGCATGCATGTTATTATTAAAATTAAGTTCAGTTACTTCAGTATATCATGAAATCATGGGATCCTTCTAGAATATAGCATATGATATTAAAAATTAAATTACTTTATTAATCAAATATAAAATAAAAACATTATATGTGGGACATTCCATATAATTTTTTTTATATCCCATTCTAGTTTAACTACTTTAGTTGTGTATTGGATATCATACTCAGCAATGGTGATAAAATCTTCTATCCATCAATAAGATTTCAAATATAATTATTAATCATCTAATCTTAATTAATATTTTACCAATTGCAATCAGAAACACAATTCTTCATATCCAAAAATATCTTACTAATTAGCTCCTAGCCATCATTCATGTTTCATCCACAAGGAGCAAGTCATGATTATGAGATAGCATGGCTAAAATCTTAAAGGTGTGCTTGCATGAATATTTTGAATATGGTTGTCAGCAAAAGATTTTCCCATAACTATTGATTATTGTATCCCAAATTAATAAACATACATTAGCCCTAAAAAAAAAAATAATAATAATACCACTCATTAAGGTCCATAAAATATCATCCTTATCTTCCTGATGTGGTCCCAAGTCTGCACCATCTTTCAACAATTATCAAGACTTTAGGTATCTTTCATCAAACAAATGGGGCAATCAAGCATTCATACTTTCTATATAAAGCATCCAATCATGATAAATTGAAAAATACATTGATATTGGTCCAGAAAAAGCATTACATAGCCCATCTATTCCATCATCAACCTCCAAAGGGCATCATAGACAATAACTACACTATCCACTCATCTTCACACACCAATATTGCTCTATCTTCAACTAATATTATTAGATGCACCTTTTTATACAGCACTAATCCCTTAAACTATCTTCATCACATAAATAAACTTCTTACTAAAAGTCATCTCCTAAAGAAAGCCCAAATCAAGCATAAAAGCACACATGTTAATTTCTATTCAAAAAAGAAAAAAAAAACCTCTTAGAACAACTATCTAGAGGGTATAAATCCAACAAATAAAGTTCTTCTGATGTAAAATTTATGCAACGGTTGAATAAAAGAAAAGAGAAAGCTTGAAAGTACATCAGCATAGCGCAAAATTTTGAAGCTTTGTAAATGTGACTTTTGAGGGGATTGAACAAATTTCGATATTCTTTCCTTCTTCGGTGAATAGAAAAGCATTATTAATATTTCAGACTCAGTAGGGAATTGTGTAGCAATAAGAGGAAGTTCTTAAATGTGGGTGTCAGATGACCACTAATTGAGTTTGGACGGGCTTGCAATACTCCTAAGCAGGGTAGCTGAGTTGGGTATTGAACCTGCTGGGTGGTGGGACAGACTTGTGAGTTTAGATCTATGCCTGAGACACACCAGACTCAATTGGGGAAAGAATGAGGCCAATATTACACTCCAGTAAATAAAGCTTTTTCTATTTGGAAATTTACGCACATACCACACAATTCTTGTGTATTTACATATCTTACACCTAAACTTTAATTTTTACATTTATACCACACTAATCTTTTATATCACATCATAAATACCATAAAACTAACTTTTTAAAAGTGAAATATACATTTTTATGCACAGGTAAGGTGGCATTGAAATTTAGATGGTATATATGTAAATACATATTAGTTGTCTGGTATGTATGTAAATCAAATATATCACCCAATTCCTATGCATTTACATATCTGTATCACCCAAATCTCTCATATCTAAAAAAAAGAAGAAGCCATCAGTTTAATTTTTACAAGTGAAATACACATTTTCATGTATAGAGAATGTGGTACATATGCATGTAAAAATTGACGTTTAGGCATTAGATATCTAAATAAATAAGAATAGAGTGGAATGTATGCAAGTCTTCCATTTTTTATTTATTATGGGTTTATACTCAAGAGTTGACTAAGATAAAGAAAGTTTATATGACCAAATATCGAGTTGTTCAATGAATACACTAATTTGCTTACCACCCTAACATACAAAATCAAGCTTCATAGATACTTTTAACTCCAAAAAATCAAGCAAAATAACATTCCAAAGCACGATCAATCCCAACCTGTGGAGGTGCAGGTCATACCTTTCCATTCAATTTCCATCTTGAAGGGTGTAGAGCAATCATGGCCAGCTCCATCAAAATTGTTTGTTTCATCCTCCACTTCTGCTTTGATAGATCCGTAATGGTCAATGGAAGAATCATTCCGAGCGGAACTATCAGCACTGTCATATTTATCGGAATTAAATTTGGAGTCATTTCCCAACCATTTTCCCTCATTTGGGTGCTCTACAGATTCACCGAATTCAACATCTTCAACATCTTTGTAGTTATATGGTTTTGTGACTTCATCTCCCCATTCAACTCGTTTGGAACAATGGAATGAATCTTCTCCCCATTCAACTCCTTCAGAGTTTGGCTTTTGTGGAAGAAAATGGGGCGAGAATGGCCTGCAAAAATCTTCTCTCTCCAGAGAAGGAAGAGAGCATCCCTGATACGAACCATTATCTACACAAAGCCTCAATAGCTTCTCCCAGTAAGGATCCTAAAAAAAGAATAGATCGGTGTAGTCGTAAACCTATTAGATTTAGTTTGGGATGAGTTAATATAAATTTTAATTCATTATTCAAACGATCTAATAGGTTTAAGATATATTCTGAATAAGTTCTGGTAAGGACAATCTCAAAAAAACATTTTTTTTTCTATTTTTCCAAATGATTTCATGAAAATAACAGTGAATCTGACAATTTATTTGAGTTTCACCAAAAAGAAAATCTGCTCTATACTACTAACATTAACCTTCTGGCCCAGTAGTATTGTCTTTCGAATGAACCAAGAAAAAAAATCTTGAATTGTTAAAGCAATTGGTGCCGCTATAAAAAATCTACACTGATGATAACTCTAGAGAAAATACAAAAAATAGCATAAATTCCAGCAGACCACAAAGTCGACAATTGCAGACCACTTTTGTTTCATATGATACATGAATGTTCTCCATGAAAATATTCAAAACTAAGTCCTACACGAAATTTATTGCAAATGGGAAAGAAAGAAGTATGCATTTTGAAGAGGTAAATTATCTACTTCCCAAGTCTCAATCCATTAAGCATGACAGCACAAGGGAACGATGAAGTGCCGCCAACAAAACAACAGCGCAGAAAAATTAAGGCATTGTATTAATGCAGCGTACTAAGTGTTATGCTCAAGCATGCACAATAATAGTTGAAAATTAATGAAAAGATGTTTTGGTTTTATTTTCGGTTTTTTTTTCTTTTTGAATGTTTTCCTTGGATAAAGGTAAATACTGATGGTAACTGGTGGAGTGGAGGTGGTGGTGCTCGGGGTGTTTTCAGATCTTGCTCTGGTAAATTATTTTGTTCCTTTTCTTCGCCTTGTCTAGTTGTTTGCGCCATGGATGCTGAATTATATTAAGTTTGGATGGCTTTACATGTGGTTGTCATCTTTAAATGGAAATTCCTGCTTATAGAATTGGATTCTACTGTGCTCCTGGATATTCTCAGAAATGATAAAGACCCACCTTGGTATCTTTTTGTCTATTTAAGTAAAAATCAAACATCTCTCCACAAAAATTGTTACTTCCTGGAATTATGCCCCAAGGGAAGCTAATAGACCTGCCAATTTTCTTGCTACAACTGCTGCTAGGGATATGCAAGTAACATTACAATGCAAACCTCATCCTCATCTCAAATATTTGCTTAATGATGATAATATGAATTTACCATTTCTTAGAATTTGTTCTGGCTAACCTTTTTTTCTGAACAGTTTCCTCATATAGACAAAAAGTTCTCTCTTTGGGGATGTGCATTTGAGGTTCAAGAATGTTAGATCTACTTGTTTGCTTTGTCTGTCATTACAAATTGCTGTTGTGGGATTGCTGTTGTGGGAGGGAGGAGGGAGTTAAATGGAGGTCTACATGGTTTCTGATGAACCTACTATAACTTGTTTTAATGGGCTTATTGAGAGATTTCTTTCCTTCCACCTATTCAAACTCTCACCTTAACCTCTACTGTTGTTGCTGTATTTTTGCATTTTCTGTATTAACTTCACAGAAGGAGGAGATTAGAAGATGGAACTTTTTTGATATGTTGCTATTGGTGATTTCTTTCCTTACACCTTTTCAAACTTTTACATTAGGCCCTACAGCCACTAAGTTTCTAGTGCATTACTGTCCTGTGGGATTAGATGGCTGCTTTTTTTTTTTTAAGACTGAAGCAACTGCTTGCTTCCTATTGATCTACAGAAACCTGGCTTATTTGGCTACTATTAGGACATGTTGTCTTTGCATTTAGTCAAAAGTTTACCTTCTCTGCTGCTGTTGTTTCTTCCCGGAGGCAGAGATGTTTTCTTTTGCAGATGATATGAAGCAGTTGATCTTTGGATAGATGAAAATGCATGCTATCTACTTATTATAGTGGATTCTGCTCGTATTGCCTGCTATTTGGTGTTAATCTCAACACACCAAATCTATGCCTTAACTCTAGAGATGGTGCAACCGATTGTAGTGATCAATATTTGTGAAAATGGAGAAATTCCAGCTTAATACAGGATGGGGGCACAGTTGTTGGTTGCTGAATATTGATTCTGTCTCTGTAAGGTTTAAAATTCCTTATTTCTGCTTGTCTGCTATCTCCTTTAATTATTTTGGATACAGGTACAATTTCATGGAGTGGATGTGGGGATGGACTCATCTAGATAGCTTGTTAGAATGAAGTACCTACATGGTATGTCTTTTTTCTACTGATTTATGGTTTTCCCTTTTGTCTTTGTCCACCGGTGCAGGTACACTTTTTTTTTGGGGATCTTCTACAAAGTATAAGTATATAGAGTATATATTTTGGAGTTTTTATTTTAGGGTATGCTTGTAATTGTTTTGGAGATTCTTTTTGCATTCTTGTACCTCTGGTGTGGTGGAACCCTTTTGGGTGTGTAGTTTATCTTTTTTGGGTTTTGTAGTGGGATCCACCAACCAAACAACCTTGTACCTTTTGATTTGATGAAATAAAATTATCTCCGGATTTTAAAATATATATATATAAAGATTCTTCTCTCTAACCCTAAGAAAACCAAATAGTAGGGCTTTTTCGGTTTGGGTGTGTGTGTGTAAGAGATAAAGATTTTACATCCTAACCGTAAGAAATCCAAAGTGTTGCTTAGGATTTGTTTGGGATCAATTTTGTTTTTTTTTTATTTTTTATTTTTTATTTTTTATTATTTCATTTATTTTTAAAAAAATATTTGTTTGGTGTATTTTTTACATTTTTTTTTATTTTTTTCTAAAAATAAATTAATATATTTTTGAAAACACTCAAAGCAACTTTTAGGTTTTTGAGTATTCTTTAAGACAACCAAATTCTAATCATATAGCCAACCATGTTTTGCTTCAAAAAAAAAACGACAAATAGAAGATAAAACACAATTTATTCCAAACTGGCCCTTAATAAAGCTTGTGGATTCAATCTGATAAGATTGTCGATCAAGTTCAATATTATCGATCGCCCCCTTTCTTTTCTTTTCCTTTCTTTTTTTTTTGTTCTTGCGAAATTCCTTCATTTTAATTGTTGCGAGTGCCGAATCTTGTGACAAATTCAAATCAGATACAACAAAAAAAATTTTCTAGAGCGCCCAAATCGAAATATCAATTGGAGCCAAATCCTTCATCAAAATATCAATTATTGAGTTGATATTAAGATTTCAGTTCTGCTTGAAATTCGAGGTTGAAACCTTGAGAAAATACTAAATTTGCTGGAAATTGCAAGTGAAAGAGCATTGAACAAGAGGGGGAGCAGAAAAAGGATAGCATTATTGAAAAACAAAGTTTTGTCCTCCAATAACTAATGTCACAATTTACTACTAACGGGGCTGAAATATAAGTTGAAAGAAAATAAAGAGAAAACTGCAGAGAAAACAAAAAGGCACAAGATACTTTATTCATCAGTTGACTGAAAGATGGTTTCCTTTACATTGCCGCATACTATTACAGAGTAGAGATATATTTAGTAAAGTTTGGTAAACAACGGATAGAAAAAAAATAATGATAATGCGGATTCGGAGGGCCGTTACAGATGAACATCTGGGATAAATGCAAAGCGAAGTAGTGGCAGAGCGATGTTCTACAAGCACATGAATGGATGATGACAGTTGCCCTCAAAAACCGAATATGGCTGTGGATTATGAGTTTGTCCGGAAGGGTGAAGAATCAAGACTGTGATAGATCTTTAGTGAAGACATAAAACATGATCTGGTGTGGCAATATGATTGAATGAAATGGCTTTAGAAATGTAATAGTTGACGAAATGGTGGTCAGTTTGACATGGGGCAGGCTCGTGCAGACCATTGGATCTGACAGCAGGGTGCCAATCCAACCTTTCCCTGAATCGGTCAGTCCACTTTACTTATTTTGCACCCACCTCCTCATCACGACCCCGCATCGTTCGCTACTCCTTCCCCGCCCCTTGTCGTAATCTCCCATAGCCACTTCTCCTAGTCGTTGCGCCTCTTCAAATACCTTTCTTTTCTTCTCCTCCTTCCTTCCTAGGTTGTCTCCCTTCCTACCTATTTATACATGTTCTTTCTTAGGTCTAAGCAATGGTTTTTGGTTTTCTGATTTCAGGTATTGCTCCTGGTGTTTTTCCTCTTTTGAGGGTTGTATCCTTCGACGGTTTGGTGCTACGGCTATATCCCGCCAAGGTGGTGTGTATTTCCACCCCTTTCCCTCCTCTTGGCGTTATCCTCCCTCCACTATCGTACTCATGCTGCTCTTCTAGATGTTGCCTTCCATTTCCACGGATCCCCTAGTCCGCCAAAGCACCTCCAGGTGCCATTCAGAGCTCCTCTAGGCTAAACCCTCCTTCCTGCGCCTCCTCCAGCAAGCAGCAGGTCGCTCCGAACCTTCCCTGCCCACTTCGCAGCCACTTCCAGCACCCAGCAGCAGTCATTCCGCCACTGCCTCCCTACCCGGTGCTTCGTACGGCAGACCGCCGACCATTCCAGGGCCCCCCAGCACCACTCCGGTCACTGCAGGTCACCCCGACGATCGTAAACCACTGTTGACTCCTCACCTGCCACACCAGTGACTTCTCAGCCGCCGCCGTTGCTGCCCAGGACTGTTTCTGATCTATGCTTAGTCCACTTTCTGCAATCACTAGTTTGTTTTATTGTTTATGTGTTTGTTTTATTGTTTATGCATTCATGTTTGTTGTTTTTGTGTCCTCGCTGATTGGGAAGCACCATTGTACTCCTCTTTTAAAATTTCAACAATAAAATTAGTCGCATCTGAGTCATGGTTTGGGTCAACTCCGGTATCATTTAGCATCAGAGCTAGCCCAACCCTAGTCCTACCCTAACATCCTCCCTACCCAATCCACCAAGACTTTATTTCTCTTCCCTTTGTTTCTTTTCTTATTGTTTTTTTCTCGTTCCTTCTCTCGTCTCTTCCCCGAAACACTTCCAATCATGTTGCCACATCGATATGCGCCGGAAATAGCCCGAGAAGAAACACAATGAGAGAAATGTCTCTTACAATAA